TTGATAAAGCTAGAAATTATGTCCCTTAAAATACCGGGTAATTAAACAAATAAGGTACCAATGTTTTTGTAAGATTTTTACATCTTTAAAGGACATTCGGTAGACTGATTCCCCACTGTTGGTTCAACCTCAAAACTTGTTTGTATTCAAAATTAATAAAGACAATGCATATTTATATTGAAACAAACTATGATAAAGGGAATTATATTATATAACAAAGGGCTAGGTCACCAGATTTCAACTATGTTTTAATTGAGGCTGCTTGTTTAATTTTTTTTTTTACAATTTCTTCTTAATTTTTGAGCCAATGGACTTGATTTCTAATTAGCTGCAGGTATTGATTAAGTTTTTTGAAAAAATATGGAAAAAATTATGCAGAATTATTTTGCAGAAAGTGACAAAAGTTGGCATTCGGGTTTAAAAGGTTAAGTGATGATTTTCTACATTTTGTCCCGTATTATGAAGTCAGAGATAATATAAATTAAATCTTCAAGTCTTTAAATCAAAGCAATTTTCGCACAAAGTTGTCTCCTCGAATGCCCTTAAATTATCAAAACGCAAAAGTTACTATCCTTATCATCCATCAGGGCTAAAAATAAACATTCTAGTTTGCTTGCCATGGACAGATGTTATTCCTTAGTGTGTAATACTTGCATTACCCTGGGTTACCTGCTTACAAGGTGAATACGTATTATCGTCTGCAATTTATAATATTTTTTAATTTATTTTGTTTGTATAAAGAAAGGCTAATAGAATGTTGATTTGATTTAATTTTATTTGAAAGTACTGTTACATGACAGTATATTATGAATTCCGTTTCAACCTTCAAGAATTTTTTTTACCGTGCTTTACAGCGAAAATAAGAGTATGTGTATATGTAAAATCTTGGCACTCGTAGCTGCCTTTTTGCTTGCTGAATCACTTTACGAAAAGTCTGCTTGTTTCTATTTTAATTCCCTCTACCGATAGGACTAATTACCATATTTTTGTTGCATGTGCTTAAATAAATGACAAGGGTGTGCAAAGTCAAATTAAGTCGCATTTTAATGATCCCACTTTCCAATAAATGCAATTTTAGTCTATCTATGGTGCGATACCCCAGTCGCCACAAAAAATTGACAATCCATAGAAATTTGATAACAACACAATTCCATTGAGTAGGTGTTCCCGTCAAGTTTCAAAGGTCAAAACATGTGTATCATATTGAAGGTGTTGTTTTTTGAACAGGAAAACTTAATTTAGCGCGAGGTTTTAAAGTTCATTTATAGTCGTGTTAGGTTTTTACAGCTTTTTGATTTTTATGTCAAAAGATGATGATTAAATGTATGATGACTGTCTTTTTGCTTGCTAAAATGATTGCTCATGGCTGGTTATGTTTCAAAATCTGTCTGCATCACCACTGAATCGTTACCAGCGAAGGGTGATATAATCACCATGGAGACATGCTTTTGTTCAAATCTTTTGGCACATAGTCAACTTTGTCACCTTTTACAAAATAATTTTTTCTCTACTATTCCTTTTTTTTTTATCAAGACTTACAATAAGAAACTATGTTGATTTGGTTTAAAATTACATAAATTATAGATAAGTTTATAAAAAATGTGAAAAAAGTTGCACCAATATTTTGACAGTGAAAAATATGGCTTCCAAGAACCTAATAATTTGTTATTTCAAAATGATGGTGCAACATTTTTATGTATATTTTCTTTGTTTAATGTGAACATGATTTCTGAATCTGATCAACAAAACTTGAAGGGATAAATATTCTACATGTAGTTACTAAAGTGAGAGCAACAATTCTCATTAATATTGTATGTTTTTGTTTGTTTGCAGTTTTGGAAAACGAACCTCAGGAAGTGGCCGCAGAGGAAGTGAATGTCTTATATTAGAGCCTTCTGAAATGCTTGTTGTAAGTTGTACTGTCTATTTATTCTCATCATGCAGACATCTTTGAAAATCATAAAATTTATCTGACGCAGACAGACAGTCAGTACATGCTTAGATACATGTCTGTACTCTTAACACGTTTTGGTCCAACTGTTTTTGACATGCAACTGAATGTGTAAATGGATTATAAAGTGAGTGAATGTGGCGTTATCGTGAATGAACAAAAATATAGCTAGGTCACTGTAAACTGTATGGTGTGTCTCCGGTTGCTTTTTAGCTCCGCTGTCGACTTTGTCGAGCGGAGCTTATCATATGAGTGAATGTCCGGCGTCGTCGTCGTCCGTGTCAATGTTTTACTTTTTCGACTTCTTCTTGAAAACTACAAGCCTGAATGCTTTGATACTTGGTGTATATGTACCTTGGGTAGACCTCTCTTAGGTTTGTTCATTTCATGTTGATATCTTCAATTCTCTAATTTTGGTGAATATTTTTGTCATTTTTGGTAAAAAGTGATATTTTCGACTTCTTGTTAAAAACCGCAAGTGCAATTGCTTTGATATCACATATATAGGTACTACATGTGGACCTCTCTCAGATTTGTTCATTTTGTGATGATATCTTCAATTCTCTAATTTTGGTGAATATTTTTTGTCATTTTTGGTAGAAAGTGATATTTTTGACTTCTTGTTAAAAACTGTAAGTCCGATTGCTTTGATACTATATATATTGTTCATTTTCTAATGTCGTCTTCAGTTCTTTAATTGAAATGTGCATTGCTAACAGCGGAGCTATCTCAGCCGAGAGACTTCTTGTTTTAGATTCACGATTCACACACATCTCCATATGTGGTTTTCTTTGGCATCTTGGGGGGGGGATTCTGACATAATCAGCTGATTGGTTGCCATGGTTACCAATACTGAAAAACAATGAGTAGCTAATGTACTACAAACTGATTTCATTTCATGCGAGATGATTTTTTGTGAACTTCACTGGAAAAATCACAAAATTTTGTGGAAGTGAACTTTTCACTGGGGTCCTTGAGGGCCCTTATAGCTAATTATGGGGAACTTCTAAAAATGCTGAAAATTTTGAAAGTATTCCAAATTTGGATATTTGAAGGAGCTCCAGTGTGCTCTCTAAGCCGACATGACAAGCCGTAGATAAAAAAAATAATTTGCTTTGATGCATTTAATTGTGGCTACACTTTGATTGATATGTGGATCTTGAAAAAACATCTTACTGTGATAATGAAATTCATAATTTAATAGGAATAGTTCAGCATGTAAAAAGTGTGTTTGCGGTGTCCCACCCTTAAATTATCAAATGAGAACGAGGAAAACCACAGGACTTGTTTTTGCCCCCCCCCTCTCCCAATAGTGTTCCATTGTCTCTCGTCATCAGTTCTGTTGACCAAATACTACCATGGTTACATAGGTCTAGGATATGTACTATGCATAGAATCTTTGCCAACCAAGGTTTGTTTATTTGGCCATCATCTCACTACAAACCTTGGCAGGTTCTGTTCACTGAGGTCATTTTTAAGTGTGCCCTCTATGACAGTTTGACATCCCACCATTTTGTTTTTATTAGTTGCTGATTGTATTGTATTTTACAACAAAAAATATCAATACAAAATTACAAATTGATATTATACAATAATTATATATGTAATTACATATACTTATGGTTTAATTACAGTGTATGTGCATCTGTCTGTCTTGATGATTCCTCTCCTAATCTTGTAAAGTATTCTTAACACCTAGTCTGGTTACATATACAAGGAATTTGTGGTTGAGTCAAAGATGGTCGAATGGTGGCCATTTTGTTGAAAAAATACACTACAATCAGATATATTGAAATGTCCTGAACCAGATCTTGGGCACGTGTAACCATTACTAGAGGTTGATGCATGTCACATCAATTAGTAGTCTATTCAAGATGGCTGACTGGATCTACATGTATCTATCAGGTCACGAGGTGGCTCCATTACTGCAACTTCATATTATTTTTGCTTACATGTATGCACAAATCTTGTATACATGTAGCTATACACTAGCAATTAAAAAATATTCACTATGAACAAGATTAGGCGCTAATATACCGGATTCTACCCTGGGCGATTTCGCGGCTGGTGGGCCCTTATTTCCCAAAAAATTCAAAAAAAATGATCATCAAATATTTTTTGGGGACTTCTATTTTCATTGAAAAATCCACCTAGCCTTGAAACAACTAGAGATGATTTACACAAGACCCCCCCCCGTTATATACCGTATATATAACAAAGATATACATGTATGCATATAACATCATACAAAAGTATACCAAACTTAAATACAGATAGTTTGAAAAAAGTAAGTCATGGTGTTACAATAGCGAAAAGGTATGGGAACATAAACAAAACACTAATATACTTTAGTAGCTATGCTGTTGACATTTGTTTTCTTGCTATAGACATGTTATCATTCATTGTCACATGCATAACACATGTATCCCTTGTAACCATGTTTTATATAATGCAACTTTTTAATTTGGGATATATTGCTAAAAACACTGATAATTGTTTTGTAGAATATTCTTTTTACAACAAGCAACAGAATACTATATGTATATGGTCTTAAACATTAAATACACAACTGTGCCCAAATTCCATATGTGATCTCTCGGTAGATTTTCACATATGCCATTCACATTGATGCCACTGTGGAGATCAAGCTTGATATTCTCCATAGATAACATGAAAGACCTCTATTCTTTTCTTTATTTACTAAGTAATATTTTTAATTAATAGATTGACTATCCTGATGTTCAATTAATGAAGCCTGGGCAACGTCAATCCTGTACAACTATGAACTTAGAAAAACTACTTGCTTTAGAACAAGAAGAGGTCAAAATCGCAAGAACACAATCTTTGGGTGAAGACCATCAGGTAAGGGGTATTACCGGTAAATGTACAATTGACAGTTTAGTTATATAGTTGGAATCCCTCTCATCGACTTCAAATATCTAGCGTCTTTAATAATGCTAGATTAAGCTTCTGATCAATGCATTGGATGCATTGCTGCGGCTTATTTTGACTATGGTGTGCATATTCAGATTTTCTGCGGCTTATCGTGTCTATGGTGTGAATAATGGCTTGACTTGACCATTGCATATTTGATTTTTTCTGTTTTACAGTTCATCCAAGCATGCAACTTTATTTATTAAGTTCAGGTGCATAAACACATTGTACTGAGAATATAATACCTCAAAAGATGTGCACTGACACATCGTCTCATCACCGCAGTCAGTGCATCAACTGTAGTGTATATCTCTTGGCTGTATTCACGTATTGGGTATTGCACACCACTCTTTTCTCCCAGAACAACAACTTTACCTTTAGTTTTCAGCACACAAATTTTTGTTTGTTCCCACTGCACCAACATATGTAAACATCAATCCAACACTGGTTCCCAGTGCACCAACATGTAAACAGCACACCAGCGTTGATTCCCAGCACGGCAGCCTTTGTTTCCAGCATACCAACATTAGTCCCCATCACTACACAATCCCTTCCATCAATGTAGCACCGTGTTCTCAAATACTATATCTTTGCCGATGCCCCAACAACCTGTGCTTTGTAAATGCCTCAACACTTCGTCTAGTGTACGTCACTGTCACTTGCCTATATATCTCTTTTCCATTTGCCCTGATGAATATCCAGCTAATATAATCTGTTGATTGGTTGCCTTGGCATACCTACCATATAGTCACTTTGTAACATTATTAAATAAATTGTATTGTATGAGTTAAAGGGTATGACTTGCAGTAGATGTTTAACAATTACTGTTACCCTGGTTACCTGGTTGTTACGGGAGTTATGGTTCATGCACAGACATATGCCCCTATATTTGAGTGTAGCTCTCACTATTGTTGAAAATCATATATTTTGGGCGAAGGCTGTCGTTCTCATTGTTATTTTACTACGTCTCATTTATCAGCAGCCACGGCACCCCGTCATACGACTGGAGAGAACCCAGTCTCTCGGGGATGAACAGGTAGAGTGGATTTGACTTTGTTTTTGGTGTCCTCCATCCTATAGTGGTGTCATTGTCAAAGTCATTGGAGATCCTTATGTAAATCATTTGTTTGTAGTGATATCACGTCCATTCTTAGACATGTATCTATATCCATGTTTAACTGTTATTTTTTTGTTTTTAAAAAGCATTATCACTTTTTAAAAATATCAACACTTAGAAGTATTTGATTGCTATGTGGTGTGGTCATTAGTAGCCATTGATTGGACGATAACATAATCACATGACATGCATTACATCTCATCCCCGAAATGTACATGTAGCTACCACATCCCCATCCCAGCGGCAAATATTGCTATATCAGTGCCCTCTCTCATGGTTACAAACCTGTGCAGACATTTGCACTCACACATAGGTTAATAATCACATATCAGTGTTCCTGTCTACAATTTGTTGCTTCTCATTAAGTGAGTAAGAAGCTCATTAATATTTATGAGCGACCAGCGCTCTGGGGCTGGTAGGATCCCTGTGTTTGCACTTCTATTTATTATAGAATAATTTTCAAAATGTCCATTTTTTGTTGTAAATATTATAAATGATTGAAAGTAAAATCTGAAAGTCTATTACTGTATTTGCTCTAATTAGAAAGATCATACAAATGTATGCTCATGAGAGGCCAGACAAAATAAATGATTTGTTTCTGACTGAAAATACATTCCTTGTAAATTATATACAGTTCAATATTGTTTAAACATAAACGTATGTATAACCAGTATTTTGCATACATCATATGAACCTAGTCAGCAGTTAACCATACAATTATATTTATACATGTAGTTGTCTGTCTCGCCGTCCGTATTATGTTATCAGTGTTGTTGTTAACTTATATCCGTGAAATTTTGAAAAAAAATTTACTTTTACTGAAATTGATGATCTCCTTGAAAGTCTTTGGCCGAGGTGTTATGTGAATGGACACCTGGTTTGCACCATCTCTAAAATATTATCAGCTTTGTCAAACACTTATATTTGTATTTGTCTGATGGTATTATTTGTATGTCAGGAAGTACCAGATGTATTTTATAAATGGTTTGAAAAATATGTCTCATACGTATGTGGAATAAATTATTAGTGTAAACTTTTGCGTTTTGGTCATAAACCACGCCAATTAATTTATTAACACCTTTTTCAATTCCCCAAGCCAGCATTGCCAAAATTACCGATTGTAAATTTCACATAACTTTTCAATTGCACTATTTTAAGCTCTTTCTGTTCACCCTGGCGATTAATGTAGTACGGTAACCATATTAACCCTGTTGGCAATTATTAATGTTGTAACCATATTAACCAGCTTCCTTTTTCTCTCCTTCCTTTAATCTGCTTTTCTTTTCTGTTGGATTCACCATCAATCTGAGTAAGTACTTTATGTAGAGTAACTTCATACCACCTTTTAATTTCCAATTCTGTACATTAATATTTTTATTATATCTGTGACATTATTGGAGATGTGTTTCTAATAGAGGAAATATGGTACATGCACTTCAATTGGAGACATGCTTTTAATACCATTTTTGTGTGCTTACGTAAATGACAGAGGTGTGTCTGGCCATCATTTCAATGATCGAGTAATACTATAATAGTAAATGTAAATTGAACAGGTTTTATAAATTGAACAAATATTTAATCCTTATGAATGGTGGAAGAGTACAAGAATTTAATTACTTTATAATTCATTTTTTGACTCCTATTTATTCTAACAAATAGTTGCGAAAATCAATGTTGTATCTTGGGTGTTGATTTCACTTTTCACGATGAATGGGCATCAGATTTGGATAAAATGTTGCATCTTGGGTATTGATTTCACTTTTCATGATGAATGGGAATAAATTTTGGATGCATAGACTGTAATTAATTTTTGTTAAATGCCTAAGGTTTGGATATTAAATTAAAATGTGTTTTCTCAATTAACAGGCAAGGATAAAGTTCCTAAGATTATGTATACACTTAAGGGGATGAATCAATATGTGTGTGTTCATATCTCATGCATCCGAGTTTAGATTCCATACTGACTTTTCTTTTGATACAGACACATTACTTTCTACCGTTCATTTCATCATCGGATGCTCATTTTGTTTTGTTTCATAAAAAATATTTCTAATAAATTTTGATAGTGTTTATATTAATTACAGCGTAATCATTAAAACGTCATTTAGATCAAATGTGTGCAACGTGATAGACAATTGTAATCCCTATTGCCTTATTTCGCTACAACTTTTCAGTGATTTTTAGCTCCACTGTCGACTTTGTCGAGCAGAGCTTATCATATGAGTGATTGCCCGTCGTCGTCCATCGTCTGTTGTCCGTGTCAATGTTTTACTTTTTCGACTTCTTCTTGAAAACTACAAGCCTGAATGCTTTGATACTTGGTGTATATGTACCTTGGGTAGACCTCTCTTAGGTATGTTCATTTCATGTTGATATCTTCAATTCTCTAATTTTGGTGAATATTTCTGTCATTTTTGGTAAAAAGTGATATTTTCGACTTCTTGTTAAAAACCGCGAGTGCAATTGCTTTGATATTACATATATAGTTACTACATGTGGATCTCTCTTAGATTTGTTCATTTTGTAATGATATCTTTAATTCTCTAATTTTGGTGAATATTTTTGTCATTTTTGGTAAAAAGTGATATTTTCGACTTCTTGTTGAAAACCGCAAGTCCGATTGCTTTGATATTACATATATAGGTACTACATGTGGACCTCTCTTAGGTTTGTTCATTTCATGTTGATATGTTCAATTCTCTAATTTTGGTGAATATTTTTGTAATTTTTGGTAAAAAGTGATATTTTCGACTTCTTGTTAAAAACCAAAAGTTCAATTGCTTTGATATTACATATATAGATACTACATGTACCCTTTCTCAGATTTGTTCATTTCGTGATGATATCTTCAATTCTCTAATTTTGGTGAATATTTTTATCATTTTTGGTAGAAAGAGATATTTTCGACTTCTTGTTAAAAACCACAAGTCTGATTGCTTTGATACTATACATATTGTTCATTTTCTAATGTCTTCAGTTCTTTAATTGAAATGTGCATTGCTAACAGCAGAGCTATCTCAGCCGATAGGCTGCTTGTTTGTTAATCCTAAGGAAGTTTATTATCGTGAAATCTGTATTAGAAGCCACATCCCTGATACAAGCTGCACCCATTCTTATTTGAACAATTGAGACCCAAAAATTCACCGTTTCTCATTCATGTATGTGTAGATGCTCTCATAGAAGCTGCATCTCCTCTGTTGTATTTTACCATTTTAATTGAAGTCGCAGCTTCTAATACAGGTTTTACAGTACATGTACTTGAATTAAACCATTGCTGAATCATTTCAACATCACAGCAATTATAAATATGACTGTACATGTTATTCTAATTTTTGTTAACTTATTAGTTTTTTAGAATTAAATGTCTTCATAATTAATCGCATTACGTAATGTATACAGAAATTTACATTTTAAACCCGCTTGTCTAACATGTATATTGCATATACTGTAAAACACTTTGAAATAGCTACATGCTATTTTAGCGAATTAGACTCCATACATGAATTAACTGAATCTTAATTTAACTAAAGTGTCAACAATCTTGCTGTGAGAATATACTATATTCGACGACGACGAATTTAGCGAAATTGAGGATTAGCTAAATTTGCTAAAACAACGTGCTTGCTAAAAAGCTATGTTTTACAGTATATATCTTTAGGTTTCCTAAGGCAAGTGAGTTACAGTTCAGTTGTCTGAATGGAAAGTTTACTCCTACTGTGCTGTATGACTACTTCAGGAGTTGAGCCTTTGGGATGTCATTTAAAACAAAGTTGTGGTGTCACTCCATTTCAGAGAGAGGTGTGTCATATTTTTAAATGTAAATGATTAAAGCGGGAGGGTCATCACCTGCGCACTTGCGGGAATTGAGTCCCAAGCGACGATAACAACACACTCTAAAATTGCAAAGGCTCATGGGTAGACACTTGTTTGCAAACAAGTAAACTTGTTTGTTTGTAGGTGACAACTCCCCCGCTTTAACTCTAACTTCACATTCATATTTTTGTTCTTCACAGCTTCCTACCGAACTTGAACACGTACAGAGCCTGATTAACAGAGTGGAGCAGCAAAGAGGAGGGATGCATATCCGGGTACCGAGTACCCCCAGTATTAGCGATAAGAGCTCACGTCCAAGTAGTGATTCTAGTAGTTACTCAGATTTATTCCAGCCAATTGACAGCATCGATGTCGATCTTACTGGATTGGTGGAAAGTACGGTTGATTCAGACGAAGAAGACCTTCAGGAGTCGTCTGAGGTCAGTACCTCGAATGACCAACCTCCTGTCCTTATAACATTTTTGTGAACATTTTTTATTCACACCTTTTTTTGACCAAATGGGCGGATAGAGTGGAGTTCATATATTTGATTGTCTGTCATTGTTCATCAGCAATTCTATTTTTAACTTATTGGAAAACTACCAGCTCAATTACTTTGATACTTGGTATGTAGGTACCTTGGGTAGACCTCCATGAGATTTGTAGCAAGCGGATAACAATTGTAATTGCCATGGCAACAACCAACTAAATGGTTTTCATTTGGCAAGATCATTGTGTGAACAATAATAATTAAGATGGCAAATAGTTATTATCTCATTGTACTGAACATTATTAACTATGTTTTGAGGAAGACACACTGCAAAGACAACAGAGCTATTACAGTTATGTTGTTTGTCTGTAACTAATATGTGTACTTACTTTTTTCCTAAATGGTGATCTGATTCAACCTTGACACAAAGATGAGACATAAAATATTTTGTTCTTACAATCCAATAAGGCTTTTTTTTTTTTTTTTTAAATATATGGGTCTGATAAGTCATGAGTTTCTCGATTTAATTGTAATTTGCCACTTAGACAAGTCATACATATGTATGTCTCTCAGTGTCACAATACAAGTGTAGGGTAGATAGCTGTCTGATTGTATCTGATTTGAGCATTGATGTGTTTTGATCAAAATATGCCATATAGATGGTTTGATTTGCGATACAATCATAGCTTGCTAATCAGTTACCATCATGTTTTTCTGGAAAAGTACATTCAAAAAAGTAAAAGTACATGTTGCATCATGATTTTATTTTATGTTTTTATCATCTGGTTTTAATGTTCTTTTTTTTTCACAGTCTCTTTCTGTACGAGATATTGTCCGTGACTGTCTGGAAAAAGATCCTATAGACCGCACAGATGATGACATTGGTAGGTTACAGATGTGTGTCATAGCATGTCAACTTATAATTTTATAAAAAAAAAATATGTTTAGTCAGATTTTCAGGAAAATCAGTATATTGTGACTATATTTATATGCATGTGTTAAAAATGATCACGGATGTTCGTACCGTACCTTGTTGGAATACAAATTTGTTGGTCAAATTCATCTTTTTAAATTTAAGCATCTGAAAGATACTAATTTAGCAGTTTTAGCTTAGAATGTGACAAGAATTGGCTTAATTGTTAAAATTTCACTGCTTGAAAGTTTTTGAGATTTCAGGATGTTGTTTCTGACACTCTGTGTAGCAGGACTTCAGAGAAATCTTACTGCTACAAATTTTCATGATTTTGGTTTCACAAAATTAAATTAACTAACTTGTTAACATATTTATGTTCTTTTTGATCACGTTGATGAAATTTCTCATAATGATGTGGTTATATTTCATGAAGGGTGACAAAAAGGTTTTTGTCATTAACTTTCCTCCTCATTTGAATATATTTCACTTGTCTGCACTTTTCTTTCAGATGATTGGGACAAAAATACCCAAATTTTTGAAGTGAAAACTGAAAATTTATTCAAATCTTACTGTTGGCTCCAAAATTAGGGTTAATTTCCAGAAATATTGAAGAATATAAGAAAAAAGTGCAGACAAATTTGGGCGAGAAAGTCTGGTGGTGAAAAGGTTAACATTAACTGGATTGAAAATGTTTCTCACTCATTCGTCACGTTTTCTGAGCTCAACTCTTTGCATGTCTTCATCTACTGCTGGATGTAGATACATGTATGTGCCTGACCTAATTGTCACTCTTTTTTAATTTTCAGAAATATTGCTTGATTTTATACGCCATTTACCAGCATTTTCGAACATGACGCTAGCAGTGCGGCGGGCATTATGTGCTGTTATGGTGTTCGCAGTTGTTGAAAAAGCTGCCACTGTTGTCATGAAAGATGGTGAAGAGGTGAGTGAGTGGGTGGGTAATAGCGTAGGATGGTAGCAGACACTATTAGGAAAGGGTAAAGTTATTTCCATTCTGATTTAAAGGGTTAAACATGATAGTATCTATGGTAACAATCAAAATCAAAATCTAAGAATTATGTTTCATGATATAAAAATTCATTAAACTTAGACGACCAAAATAAAGATAAATGATTATTCAAACAGATTGTATGATGTACTAAAAAAAGAACAATTAAATAAGGTTTTAAAATACACTTCATATTGTCTAATTTCAGTCGCTATTTCCATAATTTTCTTGATATAATTTGAGTGACGATGACATTTCTGAAGGGTCTCAATGAAATTTTCATTACTAAAAATGTTGACGATTATCCTGAACCGCAAAATTTGCGAAAATTTTCTTTCACAAAAATAAGTTAGTTTACAGTATTTAGTGGAATGTCTCTTCAAGGTTTTGTTGTGAATTCAGTTTGTCAAAATGCATGAATGTCTAATAATTTTAGGTTCATCTGAACAGATCTATATGTACTGCTGTTGAGGTGATTCACGAAAAAGACAACATTGTACTTCCTGTCAGTGAAATTACTGTAAACTGCTTTGATTTTGTGAGATAAATTTTCATGAATCCGTGAAAAACATGAGTGTCAGTGATTTTTGCAAAATTTTTGTCTTTAGGAATGCAATAAAATCATCAAAATTTGCAAAAATTAGCAGCAGTAAAAAAAATCAGATTACAGTATTTTGATATACAGTATCTAATAAATCTAAACATGTACAAAATTTGATAGTATTTTTGAAAAAATTTACTTACTTGTGGGATCAGATTACTGATAATAAAAATAACAACTAATGGGTAATAAGGCTGAGAATACAGTAACACTGTCCTTTCAATTATGGTTGTCATATACCTACTAATGGTGGCTTTCTGATCTATAAAACGTATACCAGTCTTTTCAACTTGTATTTCCTGATTTTTGTCTCCTTGTTATTTCATACTAACCGATATCGTTCATATTTCTAGCTTGACTCGTGGTCTGTTATTTTGAATGGCCATGTTGAGATTAGTAGACCAGATGGAACCCTGGAACATTTACATTTAGGAGACAGGTAGGAAAGAAATCTTAATTCAACCAACAAACATTCACAAAGTTCACACATCCTGGCACTTTGGAAGGAAGGCAGTTTCTAATAACAATAATTTGCAATATTATTTTGCCATATTAAACTTCAATGACAACAGCTTGTATTATTTACATGGTTTATAATGGCAACCTTCTGTGTTCGGAAAATATATTGTATTAAAAGTTTTTTTTTTTTTTCTTTTTTATTTTGATAACCTACCAGCTACACAAACTTTTTTGTATCATGCAGCTTCCGTAGCTCTCAGCTCTATATTTTTCATAGCTGTACAGACACACAGAATAAATAAACTTTCAACTCCTCTGAATAAGTATAAATCATATTTATTGTCACATTGTATCCTAGTTTTGGCTGCGTACCAAGCCTAACGAGGCAAACACATCGTGGCCTAATGAAGACGAAAGTAGACGACTGCCAGTTTGTGTGCATAGCGCAGACCGACTATTACAGAATTTTACATCAGGGAGAGGAGAACACACGGAAAGTTGAGGAGGAAGGGGAGGTTGTCATGGTAACAGAGCACCGGGTTCTTGATGGTGGCAATCGAAAGGGACATGTTGTAATTAAGGTAAACTGTTAAACTTTCATGATGTTATAATTTTTTTTTCTGCCAACATTAGGCATAAATATCTGCTTTTTTTTTGACAATGTTTTTGTTATTTTATATTTTATTTTCATCATAATTTTTCAACAACTTGTGGGTACAAAACTACTTGGTTTTATTTTTGTGAAAAGGGACTTAAGTTGACTTTTTCCAATCGTTTAGGGGGTCAAGAATTCTGTCACTTCACATCTTAAGGATTTTAAGTGTAATGTTCGCTTGAAAAATTAGTTTTGATTTTCCTTTTCAAAATTTGAAATGAATTGAAGATTTGATACTGATTTAGTTTTAATAATAAACCACATTTCTGTTGACTGATATATACAATTCTGTAAATGGCTTGGCACAAATCTTCTCAGGTGTAGGAGAGTTTGATGTGGTACAAAAACTAAATGCATTTATGCACTTGAAGGAAGTAACTTGTATGAAATACGATGATTTTCCATCAAAAATGTTTTTTTTTGTAACTTAGCTTTGACTGTCCGCATTTGTTTCAATTTAGTACTGAATGTATTTGCGCTTAATAGCATATTTACTGTTCAGAGTACGCTATATCATTTCAATGCCTGCACCTATCATATGATGTTTGTAATAATGTTGTTTCCTGCTGTAGGCGACAAGCGATCGGCTAATGCAACACTTAATAGAGGACCATTCCAGCGTGGATCCGTGCTACGTTGAAGACTTCTTGATGACTTACCGAACATTCCTCAAAAGCGCCTTAGAGGTCACCACAAATTTACTTAATTGGTTTAGAAATTCCAGCATTAGAGATCGGGTAAGTAAATCTAATTGTGGAGTACTGCTCAGCATAAAAATCACTTGTAAACAACTTCTAGTTGTTCTACTGATAAACTGTAAAATGTTTATCACAATTATAAATATTACTAAAAAATAGAACTGACAAAATCATAGAACGTGGTACAGCGTATGGAAGAGAAGAAATGAAGAAAACATTCACATACGATAAAGACATTTTCAATCCCAGCTGTGCTAATTTGCTGTGATTTTCCGTGATTTGTTGTGAATCCCAAGGAAGTTTATTGCCGGAACAAAACCCTTGAGAAATATTATCAATTCCATAACTGTCATAAATAAGTCTATTGCCTTTTTAGTTTTAGTATATTTTTTTGAACAACACACATGACATAATGATTAGTAACAAATTTAGGAACAAAATTTAACTATGACTTCTTTATCTCAACCTTTTCATCACCATTTCCCTCTTTTCATCACAAATTCACAAAATTGTCTCATTTATAGTCTGCACTTTTCTTAGTAGATTATAAAAAAAAAAATAGGTGAAAACTGAAAATTAACTCAAATTTTGTCTGTTGGCTCCAAAATTAGGTTTCATTTTCAAAAATATTGAAGAATATAAGAAAAAAGTGCAGAATAATTTGTGCGAGAAAGTCTGGTGGTGAAAAGGTTGAGGCCCCTAGTGAAGTTGTTGAAAACGCTAAAAAAGAAATTGTTATCTCTGTCTTGTGTAAATTTGTCTCTCCAAAATTAAAACAGGTTTAGTTTGCTGATACATATTTTTGTGGTTTGAGAGAATAAAATAATTTCCTACTGTGTTCAGGTGTTTTGGAGAAAACAACCACAGGCCTTGAACTTTACAGATACTTCAATGGCCTAGGGGCTTGCCTGGGTGCTCTTCAAAACGTATAGATTTTCTCTCTACTTTTCCGATATGCCAAGACAGTTTTATCAATTCTTGCTTTAAAAACAGATGCCCTCTCAACTCCACTATGCTGAGGTTTTGTTTTATGTTTTTGGTGAATGGTAAATATCACTATTGGTAAAAATGTCTCACTAATTTTGAGAATTTGTTAAACAAATGGTGAAATTGTGAAGTCCCTTGAATAAAATGGAAATAATTTGGATTTTTAAATAAAATGGTGAGAATTTGAAATATAATTTGTAAGAGTTTATGAAGTGGTGAGAATAATATCAAGTCTCGCCCAACTGTGAAAAGTGTCAGTTTATTACTCTATAGTCCTACACTGTTTGCTGCACATTTTTCAAAATTCAAACTTTGAGGCCTGTGTGTGTGTGTGACATGATAAATTATTCAGATGTCCATCATGTATATTACTGTACGAGTCTCTTGGTAATCATGTATGACGGCCATAACTAGTGTACTTGTTGAGTTCACAGTGTGATGTATGAGAAACAGTAAAATCCCTTTAATCGGTGGCGATCTGATAAGTCTATGCATATTTCATAAGTTGGAAGTGACGCAGAATAGGCAATCTCAGTGAAAGTATTCCCTCGGTGTTGAAATTAGATGTGTGTCACCATGCGTGATCCCATGACTTGAATCAGTCACTACAATTGGCATTTATATGTCAAGGAATGTGTTTTACGCATGAAGCACATAAGCACCCTATATGATAATATAACACACCTATGTGATAATATAACACACCTATGTGACAATATAACACACCTATGTGACAATACACCACCACACCTATGTGATAATACAGCACACCTATGTTATAATATAACACCCCTATTTGATAATATAACACCCCTATGTTACACACCTATGTGACAATACACCACACCTATGTGATAATATAGCACACCTATGTGATAATTTAGCACACCTATGTG